AAAAAGGGGAAAAAAAAAAGAGAACAAAAAAAAAAATATACGTGCGTGGGTCTATTTGAACCGTGAGCAAGGAAATTATGTGTGACTCAATTTAATCATACGTTATGATTAATTTTAGTATATATGTTGTTATACATGTATGAGCTATTTTAGCATGTTTTAATGAATATGCTATTTTAATTTAAATTTGAGTTTAATTAAGTGTATTTAGTTAAATTGTGGGCAATCTTGTGTACAAATGATGAGCTATTTTAATTTATGATCAAAACAATTTTTTTAGATGTAATTAAGTGAATTGAGTTCACTTAAGGGGATGTTAAAATGGGGTATAATGGGTGTTCAACTCGAATATAAGAAAGAAAGAAAAAAAATGTGAAAAATGAATATCGGGAAGTATTTCGCGAGCTAAGTTGAAAACGAAAATTATGGGAATGAAATGAGTGGATTAAAGGGCCAATTAGAGGCTGTTTTGTATTGATTAAATGTGTATGTGAATTTAAGTGTGGCGATTTTAAATAAAAAGTGCGATAGAAGTGAGAAAAGAGTGTCGGTAACGCCGAAACCCTAATTTCTAAATGTTATTATCACATGTGCGAATTTTAATCTAAATGACCTGAAATTTTGTATATAGCATTTTTAAATAATGCTTGATATGATAATGTGACTCTTGAATGCCATTGAGTATAATATTCGGTGCGAAATGTATGAAATACCGGAAGTGCAGTTTTAGGATTCGGGATCGAAATGTGTGAAAATGGGCCCCTGGTCAATGTGTTTGACCTACTTAATCCTAATTGTGATTAATGTGATTGAATTTGGGAATTTAGGGAGGAAATGTGATCCCTAAAACAAAAGTGTTAGTGTATGCGTGGATAGGACGGTAACCGAAGTTACGGGGGCACTTTGGGTGCATCATTTGTATGCACTAGTGCATGATTAATTATTACATTTGACAACCATATTGATATTTTCATTACAAATGTGTTAGGTGGAACAAGTGAGATAGTTGGTATTGAAATAGGTACGGTGACACTGAAAGGATCCACTGATAGGATCGGAAAGCCGTAGATTTGTACATCTGAGGTGAGTGTATATCTTTATATGTTTTGAGAATGTTATTATCAAATGATAGTAAATGATAGAATTTAATAGTAATTCTTTAAGATTATGTGTTACGTGCTTATGTGATTGAATGATGTTTTGTACTATGTATTGTGTATTGTAGAATGTGGCGCATTTTTTGAGATAAGGGCGTTGATGCCTAGTCACTAGGCGTGCAGTAATGTGCTAGCACTGTGGTGTTCCTGGGAGGTTCGGGAGACACGAATCCTTGTGGGATTGATTACCCAATGAGGGGTGGTGTGGATGTGATGTAGCTTGTAAATTCTTTGAAATTAGATTGATGTTATTATTTGATTCGTGTATCTACGTAGTATACTTCAGTATATTACTATCATTTTCATTTCATATACTGCATGTATACTCACTGAGCGCGTGGTTTATCTCACACCCCTATATTTTTTTCTTTTCAGGTATTATAAAGGAGAATACAGATCGGTCCACTGTCCAGTTGATTGAGTCTTGTGCAACGTTAGTGTGATATCACTCAGGTTGAGTGTCAGTATGATTAACTGTTGGACTGTGTATTATATTTATGAGAGATATTTATGGCACGTTAACAGTATATATTTGTAAATAGACTCATCAAGCATACTTTGTGATGTATGTTTTGTGAGTGTGGGATTTTATATATGGCTATAACCTGGGAAATAAATGATTGGTACAGGTGTTTATATATAGTACAGGTTATCAGATAGGTTTTACCATCATGCTTAATGACTAAGGTGGTGGATGGTGTTGTTGCATCTGTGGGATTATTTAATGTCTGCTTAGTCCAGATTATAATAACTGTAAACAAGTGTATCAAAAATCTAGTCGCATCTCATCCTTGGCAGACCGGGATGAGATGTGACACTTGTTGCTTCAACTGGACTGCTGCTCAACTGTGGTCTGTGATTTCTATTTCTGCTGGTCTACTTCTCAGTTGTTGTTTCTGCATCATCTGGCCTGCATTTCCTCGCACCGTCGAGGTTTGCCCAAAAAAAAAAAAGAAGATCTAATTGTATGGCATGCGCCTATTTCATTTGACAAGAAGCTAATAATTGCCAAAAAATGGCTTGCAAGTTGAAGTGCTAAACAAATTGAATGATTTGGCAATGGAACCATGTTGTAGTGATTTGATTATTTGATAATAATCCATCAAGAAAATTAACCAAAATTAACCAATGTAGCTACTGGTTTGTGTGGTTTCCAGTTTCTGGAGTGTGGTTGTTCCTTGGATATTTCACAGGCAATGATCCTTCCTCCTCAATTTTGCTGTGCAATGTGGTTGTTCCTTGTATACTTGAGTGGTTGCTTCTTATGATTGATTTGTTAATATGAAATGAAGTGTTAATTTGTTTGAAAAAAAAAAAACCAATGTAGCTACTGCCAAGGTTTTGTTCAATATGATAATTCATCAACTCTCCATCAATTTTAAGAATTTACAACGGTTTTCTTCCTAAGTAGCAACTCATCAATTCTGAAATAATTTATAATAAATTTTACAATGTCCAAGACAGCAGAGTCCCACATAGACAATTTGTCAAACAGTTTATAAGCAAAACCAATCTTCAGACTCCTACACAAGCCTTTCCTCCCAAAATACCTAATTTCAAGCACACAAGGTCCCTATTTTCATCAACAAGAAAGGAAGCGATCTACATCATCTTTAAATGCACTTTGAGGGATTCCTTGTAGTAAAATCTGTGAAAAGGAGCGCCAGTATGATGCTACCTCCATCCAGATGTTCGTCTGGTCCGTATGGAATATATTGCTTTTGATGTTTGATTTGTTCTTTTTTGTATCTTTCTCGAAAGTGGATCCTTTATTCTACTATTTCAGACCGGCATCCTGAGGCCCCATTAAAATGACGCTTGCTCACTTTCCCTTAAAGACCTAGGCGATGCAAGCATTTCTTACCAAGAACTGAGGCTTCTATCTCAACAATCAAATCTTGATGCGAGTTCTCCGGTGATTTTTTATTATCTCTTAAACTTGCTCTGTTCTTATTGAGACTATTAATCATAGAAGAAGTTGGTGCACTAATTCAGGCTTTGGGTAGAAATTTAGGGCTTTAGGGAAGGAGGTTCTTTGATTCGAGGAAAGAGAATGTAAAAAGAGGGTTAAGATGCTGATTTTTTAAGTTTTTTTTTAAGAAATTAGGTATTTTAAGTTGCTGAGTTGGTAAGTACACCTCAGCTGCCACGTTACCAAGTCACTTATTTAGGTAGCATTACTCTTTTTTTTATTATTGAGTCAAAAACAGATTATAAACTTTTGAGCCGAAAAAAGTGGGCAGAAATCAAAAAGGTCCCACCATCGGCATGAAAAGGAAGGTTTGAACCACCGGGCTTTTGACTCCAAAAAAAAAAAAAAAAAGATACAAGTTAGCATATGACATGAAGCCCTTATCATGCCACATAATAAGAATTGATATTAGATAAAACCCTATATTTATTACATGAGCATATCCAATTTTTACTTTTTTTTAAAAACTTAAATTTAAATTTAGATAAAAAATTCTTAGAAATCTTTTCTAATGTTGCACCCATACTCATATCAAATGAAAGGAGGCTCATTTTTTTACTGAAATTAAGAAAAACTTAAATTCATACCAAAATTTGTAATGGTAAGATTAAACCTTTCTTTAAAGATTCAATAATCATATTTTGTCTTCATTTAAATTTAGGTTTTTCTTTCTTTAAATTTGAATTTCTATTAGAGAGGTCTATATTAAATTAATTTTTTTACTCTTTTTTTTTACACTTACATTTGAGTAAGGATTTGAGTTTTTATTGGAGACGGTTTAAGGGTTAATCTCACTTTGCGCATTGAAAGATACTCGAATGTTTATTTATACATTGAAATATTTTAATTCTTAAATTATACCCTCAATATTATTAAAAAATTACAATATGACCAATATCTAATTGTTGTTTATCTTTCCGTCTGAATATACAAATTATTGCCATGTTCATGCCACTTACTATAAATGAAAAATAAACGATAGTTTTGAGTGTTGGTTAGGTTTCAAACTTTTTTAAGGCACTAAAAGTGAATTTAAAAACCGAAACTTTTAGAATACAAAATCAAAATTTGAGCATCTTTTATGCTACAAAGTGCGATTAACCGTTATTATAAAGTCACATTTTGACAATCATTGCAAAAATTAACTTGAGTATACGAGAATAAATTCTTACAATAAAGAAAGACCTTAGCCTGAGATTTATGTCTCGAACTTGGCAATTCAGCCCTCCAACAACCTCTGCTGAAGAAAGCATCATTTGTTTACAGCAAAGTCAACTATCTCACCTATTTCATTTTGATTATAAAAAAAAAAAAACTATCCCACCCATTAAAAAGCTTGAGGCAATTGTAATAATATATTATTTCCTTGCACTTTTTTTTATAATAGTTAAAAACCATTCTAAACAATAACAAAACCAGAAAATTCAAAATAGGGTGGCCAAAATAGAAAAAAATTTAGGGGGACCCAACTAAAAATTACATAAATTGTAAGTGTCAATATTTTAATATTTTTTGAGACCTAGGGTCGAGGCGGGCATGACCCCCATTGGCCCGAATATGGATCCAAAATTAAAATAAAAAAATTATAAATTTTAATACGATACTGAAATCAAAATCGTAACCTTCCCGCAATGAAACACCTCCCTCCTTTTTGTTTGACCGGACTCGAATCTACAGCTTTACATGACGATGCTGTGACCATTAAAATATAAAGCCATTGAAACAATGATGATGCATCACCTGACCTAATCATCCTTTCCTTAGTTTTTTATAAATCCTCACCAGATCAGAATGCATGTTCATGTAGACATTATCTCTTTTTTCTATCTTCCCCCCGCCATTAATGCAAGCTTGAGTTGAGGTTCTCCAAAATGGCTCAGTTGGTTGGTCCAGACGACATAGAGTCACTGAGAATAGAGCTCTCGGAGATAGGAAGAAGTATCAGATCATCATTTCGACGCCACACCTCGAGTTTCCGAAGCGTTTCGGGTTTGAGTTCTACACAGAACGATCATGAGGTTGATGATGAATATCTCTCACAGTGGGCTGCGGTGGAGAGATTGCCGACTTTGGAGCGGTTGAGATCGTCTTTGTTTGATGAAAATGAAGGAGGAAAAAGGGTGGTTGATGTCACCAAGCTTGATGCTGTTGAACGTCATATGTTCATTGACAAACTCATCAAACACATTGAGAATGACAACCTTCTTTTGTTGCAGAAATTCAGAAAAAGATTAGACAAGTAAGCATTCTTTTTTATTTTTGATTGATAGCAACCCATGCATAGGATCAAATTTTCTTTTCAAAATTCTCAAACAAACGAGTCAATTATTGAATATTAATTTTTTTATATTTTGATGCGTTTTGATATCTTTCAATTTTACATGTTTCGAAAATAATTTTTTTTATTATGTTTTTGAAATATTTTCAAAATAAATTTGTTTTTTAGATGATCAAAATAATGTATCAAAATAAAATTTTAATAGTTGACAATTATATAAATACCCAAAAATAAAAATATAAAATAAAATAGACGACAGCAATTTACCCTGAGAGATGAATCCAGGAATTAGAAAATTAGTTGTGAAAGTGAGAAAAGTTTGATGAAGGGAAGAATAACTATGTCTATGCAATTGTAAGGATCACTTAGTTAACACAAAAAATAGTTTAAAAAAAAGGGGTCTATATTTTTGTGTTTGTGCTTGTCCTTTATCGGATGTGAACCGATATGACTTGCGCCTTATTGCGTTACTCTGCTATGGAGTTTTTTTTTTTTTTTTTGATCAAACACTACTATCGAGTTTGGAATGTCTATTGCATTCATAAAAAGCTGTGGGCCTTACTTGCGATACAATAGGCCTTTTTGACTTTGCCCAAGAAATAAAGTTGTTTGGCCATCTTGTGGTCTAGTCTATTGCTGGGGTTCAAATGCAGGCGAATTTTTTTCAAAGAAAATATTAGGGTTTATAATATTTTTGGTCTATAAAATATGTAATTTTTTATCAGTTTAGTTCTCCTTACATCAATTTTGTTAATTTGTTCCTTAAAATATTTAATTCGTGTCAATTTGATTCTTATATATACGAACCGTTAAGTTTTTTGACAGAGTAATCACGCGTTAAGCGTGTGATACTGTTTAAAAAAATGACACGTGGTTTATTACTGTTAAAAAATTTTACGGTCCGTCTATTTAGAGACCAAATAAATACGAATTGAATATTTTAGAGATCAAATTGATAAAATTGATACAATGAAGATAAAATTAACAAAAAATGCATACTTTAAGGATAAAAATGCTATTAATCTAAACCATTATTTATTTTCATTTGCTTAACCTATTTATGATGCTATTGAAGTAACTATTGATTATAAAATGTTTCATTTCAATTCATAAAATAATACTCAAACTCTCTCTAATTTCTACTTCTCTTTATAAATTATTCTTTTAATTTTTCAAATATTTTTGTATTTTTTTGGATTAAGTGAAATTTTGAGTTTGAAAAAGTTGTAACATGGGATTAGAGTTTGACAACTTTGATACTTAATATTGGAAGTTTTAGAGAAAGGAAGATGAAAAATTAAGAAAAGAAAAAAAAATAATTGGGAGTTGAGAAAATGGCTATATTAGAAAATAGGAAAATCTAATTAGAAGAAAAATTATTAAAAAATACAAAATAGTTAATACACAGATGACATTTAAGTTATGTTAGTTTTTAGTTGTGTCAATTAATTTTCTAAACTAATTTTTATATTAATTTAGCTCTTCAACCATGTAATTTGATTACTGGTCTTAGGCCCACATTTTTTGTTAATTTTAACGAAAAATCTCACGTGCACATCAACATCACGAGAGTTGGGGATTTAAAATAGTCAATACTATGCATGTGATTAATGCGTGAGATGATATGTTAAAGTTGACAAAGAAAAAATCATATTGAGTCAGATTGTATAATTAAGAGACTAAATTAACATAAAATTGATTTCAGAGCTTAATTTGTATATCTTAGAGCATCTCCAATTCAATCTTAAATTTACATTTGAGCAAAAAATAACTAAAAATAAGTTTTAATTTTTCACTCAAAAACATGTCAAACGGAGGGAGGAAGGCTTAAATTTCTACTAAGAAACCCAAACATTTACTCAAAATTTTGATAATTAAATTTTACTTTTTTTTAAAGATTTGATGTTCATATTTCAACTTGTTTTAAATTTGAGATGGATTATATTTTAATTTATTTTAAATTTAAATTTGAGTTTGACCTAAATTACATTTGGGTTCCTTTTATTTTAAATTTGAGTTTCTCCGATGCTTTGTTTGCAAATATTAACTCAAAATTGGAAAAATGTACATTTTGAATAGGGGCGATTGGAGAGCAGTTTAAAACAAATGTGTTGTTCGTTAACTATCATCAATTATACAAACTACTAACTTTCAAATGTGTTGTTCATTTGTAATCTGTGCTCAATCTTCTTCAACTATCAATTTTGGCTTTGTCAAGCATGGGATAGGTTAAATTTTCTTCTAATTCTTGTAGAGTTGGTGTAAAGTTGCCCACTGTGGAGGTGAGATATCAAAATCTGCGTGTAGAAGCAGAGTGCGAGGTAGTTTATGGCAAGCCCCTCCCAACGCTATGGAATTCTCTCAAAAGTATGTTTTTTGTAAGTCTCCCTCCATTTTCTTCTACTAATTTCACTGCTTAAACCACACTCTATAGTTCAACCGAATTTCTATTTGATTACAGTCTTTTTTATAATTATTTTCTAATTCAATAAATTTTTTCTTATGGTTTAGTCATTTTTGAGATATATTTCTACTTCCAGTGCGTTGGCAGTTTAGTTAGATGGTCAAATTCTATTTGTATGATTTCTATTCCAAGAAAATTTGAGCACACCATTTTTAAATTCTATAGATTGTCCACGCATGCATACCTGTTTGGTAATATATAAAAACAAGGAAAGATATAGAATTGGAAAAGAAATTGAATAAATAAGTTCAGGTGGTTAAATATAACTTTTTGGAAGTGGTGTTTGGACTTGGACTTGTTGGTCTTCTTGGGCTCTTATGTCTGCAGTATAATGTTAAATAAAATATTTTTAAAATTTGCATTTATTCTTGTGCGCGTGTTCATAAAAAAATGGAAAAGAACAAAAATATAAGATATTAATAATAAAAATATAATAAACTAGCAAATAACTAACAATAAAGAGAGAAGACACCAAACCCACAACTATTTATTAACAAAGGATGAGTCCCTTCCATTTCATATAGTCCCCCTTGACTTTTGAAAAATTCATATATTGACTTTAGCCTTAAGTTAATGGTGTACTAGTGGCCCCCTAACCCATTAAACACATGATATTTTTGAATTGTGTGAAATAATGTGAAGGGCCATCACCCTTATATATACTAATCAAGGTCACACCTCTATTTTATTCTTGTAACTAATAAAACACGATTAGATACAAGTAATAAAATGTTGTAACTCAAGAGCATTTTATGCTTCCAATGATTCAATTTCTTGCTTTTCAAAGAAAAGAAGCAATTTATTTGGAGGATGATGTAAGCTAGGTTTTACCGCGTACTCTCTATTGTATGCATTGAAAGTTAATTGTTGAGAAATTTAGGTTAGAATCAATTATTGAAGATTGTTTTTGGATGTGCAAGAACATTGTGTTTGGTTAGGTATATTATTGATCCTGGTTTAATTCTCCAAAAAGTAATTTGGTCTTGAATCTTAAGATATTTCTCATGCTTAAATGAAGATATTTCTTATATCTTTTGGTGATTTTTTAATCATGCCCCCACCCCGTCCCCAACAGAAGAGGTAGATTCACGGCTTTGCCCATGTGGAGTGTGTATTCTGTATATGCATGTGTGGATGAAGCATATAGAAAATATAGGGTAGACTTTATTCTTATAGGATGAAAAATCAATCCATTTTGGTGTATAATCAACCTCTCCCAACCAACCACATGCACAAAAGTAAAAATGAAATGGGAAGGAAAATGCAAAGAAAAAAAAAATGATTTCCATCTTGTTTCAGTAGTATTTCGTTGCGGAAATTGATGAGTGAATTGATTCTGATGTGTGAAGTCCTAAAGCATCCTTTTGTATGCTTTTCGATTGGATCCTTGTTTATTATGTTGCTCCCTTGTTGTTAGCATAATTTTCCAGATTGATATGCGACATTTTGTTCTACAGGACTGTGCCAAGCTTCCTGGTTTAAAGCCACAAGAGACCAAAATAAGCATCCTTAATGATGCAAGTGGTATCGTTAAGCCTGGAAGGTAGGAAACAACATCTATTTCTTGATTTAAGTTTACTCAATTCAACTTAACAAAGCATAATTCATGTTACTTGGGCTTCAATTGTGTATTATGTAATACAGACTTTTTTCCCTGGTTCGCAGTGAATATATTTTTGTTACGACCTTGTCATGCCAATTACCTAAGCAGATTTATGTTTATTGCAGAATGACCTTACTGCTTGGTCCTCCAGGGTGTGGAAAAACTACCTTATTGAAAGCACTTTCAGGAAATCTAAGCAAATCTCTCGAGGTTTCCTATGTTCTATATGCTTCATTTTCCTAATCATAAGACCTTGGAAAATCTAAGATAAATACTAATGACTAATTTAAGCATTCTATAATACAATAGGTTTGTAAATTTACATATGGTTCTCAACAGTGAAAAGGATCAAGGAATCTTGCTTACACATTATAGCATCTCACTCAAGTTTTTTGGATTCTAGGTGATAATATCTTGTCCCTCGGTCTTGTATAACCGCAAAGCTCATCCCTCTCTCCTAGTTGTGCATATTTCTCATAAAAGTTTGATTCTGGTGGTCATTTTGCCTAATGTACTCCAAGCAACATAAATGCTTTACTAGTGGTTCATTCTCATTTAGTATTAGTATTGCCAAGAACTTTTTAACCTATGTTCTTGAACAGTGGGATTTCCCTTTCTTGTCAGGAGCATGAAAGTGGATAATTATTTGCATCTCCAAAAGATATAATGTTACATCAGTGAATTGCTTATTTTTCTGCCTTTCAAAATGAAAAAAATCACTTCTTTCCATAGTTTTCGTCTGTCCATCTGTCATTTTTTAGGTTACAGGGGACATTTCTTACAATGGATACAAACTGGAAGAGTTTGTGCCTCAGAAAACTTCTGCTTATATAAGCCAGAATGACCTGCACATTCCTGAGATGACTGTGAGGGAAACAATTGATTTTTCGGCACGCTGTCAGGGTGTTGGGAGCCGAGCAGGTATGCCTAGTTTGAGTACCCAACAATGTTCATTTTGACTGATGATAAGTGATAGCATTCGTAATTAAGAAATTTGGTTTATGCCTGGAAGATATTATGACCGAGGTTAGCAGGAGGGAAAAGGAGGCAGGAATTGTTCCAGATCCAGACTTAGATACTTATATGAAGGTATCTATAGCATGCCATGCCCAATATTTTGCATTTTTGATGGTTGTGGTGTTGTCAGTGTGTTCATGATAGATTGAACCTCCATGGTCTAAAGACCAAATATTGGTACTTCGGAATAGTTTTTATTGGATTTGTAGGAAAATCATGATTGAAAATAGGTTTATTTTTATAAATGCGGCAAGGTGATATTATTATATTACAGGGAGGCTACTTATAAGGACATCAACATATTTGACGTATTGTTCATTGGTTGATCTTTCTTATTTGTTGGCATATTTGTTTCTGCAGCTAGCCATTTTAATTTCCATTGTTTGTATAAATTAAATTTCAAATCAAAATGGTTGAATAGTGAGAGTATTGCAGAAGAGGTTTGATGACTACTTGTGGGCTGATTCACCTGCAACAGAACATATATATTTTGTTGATAAGGATTTTTTTGACTTTATGCCAACTTTTCCTTCCTTCTAGTTGTAAACCGGACCATGCAAACCAAGAAAACACTACACAGACAAGTTGAAGAAGGGTTTGGGTTTCGAGAAGCTACTCACAGAGACGGTCTAGGGTAGCAGCTTTGCCACAAACTCCAAACCTCAAACGACTTACTGAATAGTCAAGCCCCTTGTCATTTTTGATAGAGTGGGCTCTCCCTAACACTTCATATGCAATAAAGCACAGTTCTGATCGCCAATTTGGAGTTAATTTGATACTGAAAACATGACTTTATTAACGCATGAGATATAGAGGCTAAGAGAGTAAGCTTATCATCAATTGGATGGTCTAGATATATAGGCTAATAGGACCACTGCTAGTTTTTTTTTGTTAAAGTTTTTCACCATAACTATTTTTTTTCCCTATTATAGGGGAGGAGGGAAGGGGAACTGGGTTGGGGATTTGATCCATGCACCTGTTGTGTTCAAGTGGAAAGACTTTGCCATCTTGGATAGGCCCTCAGTCTTAACGTTTCTATTCACTCAATTTTGTTGCCTAAATGAGTTTCTTTGTATTATTAGTGATGCTGTGCCTAAATTCGTCCATATGATAGATGCCACCCTGATGATGGGTTTTATTAGGATATCTTAGTTAAATTAGGCTCAGACATGTAATCTGATACTCGTGATGTGTGTTGTAATAAGGTCTTGGAAAATCTAGAATTCCTTCTACTGAAAAAGAACTTTGCATCTTTATGCGATTAATGGAAATCATCATGCATTAAGTTCATGGCATCTATAATATCTAATGTTACATATGTTGTTGATGCGTTTATCCGTAATGTTTTGACTGAACTCTTTACATTAACAGGCAATTTCTGCTGAAGGACAAAAGACAACCATTCAGACAGACTATATTTTAAAAGTAATTCTCTTTCAATATGGTGAACTTTGAGATATTTCTTTGTATTATTTGGCAATGCATAAAGTACAATGATTTACCAATCATTGCATTGTTCTCTTAGATTCTTGGACTTGATGTCTGTGCTGACACACTGGTTGGGGATGCAATGAGAAGAGGTATCTCTGGCGGTCAAAAGAAACGATTGACTACAGGTAATTTGAGCTCTAAGTTGCACAGATTTGCAGATATTGCAGCTCTCCCGTTGTACAGTATATTTAGCAGAGATGTTATCAACATTTTCATTGCCTATACCATCTGCTGACCTTTCAACATCAACGATTTGAGCTGAATATTACTTGTGAATATAGTATTAGTTAGTCAATTTACATTGGTATTATTCAGGGGAGATGATTGTTGGTCCCACAAAAGCTATGTTTATGGATGAAATATCAAATGGTTTAGACAGCTCAACCACATATCAGATTGTTGCATGCCTTCAACAACTGGCACATATCACAGATGCTACTATACTTGTGTCACTTCTTCAGCCAGCACCGGAAACCTTTGATCTCTTTGATGAAATTATCTTGATGGCAGAAGGGAAGATTGTGTATCATGGACCCAGAAATATTGTCTTGGATTTTTTTGAGAGTTGTGGGTTTAGGTGTCCCGACAGGAAAGGGGTGGCTGACTTCCTTCAGGAGGTAAGTTCATCAGGACATTTCCTTTTTAGGCTCTCATTTATTCAAGGAGGTATTAGTTAACCTCTTACTGACACAGGTTATCTCTAGAAAAGATCAAGCACAGTACTGGCACGAAACTGAACAAGGCTACAGATATGTTTCTACTGATATGTTATCTAGGAAATTTAAGGAGTCCGCTATTGGGAAGAAGCTAGACGAGGAGCTCTCTGAGCCATTCATGAAGTCCCAGAGTGATAAAAATGCTATTTCTTTTAGTGTTTATTCTCTTTCTAAATGGGCACTCTTTCGCGCTTGCATGTCAAGGGAGTTGCTTCTCATGAGGAGGAATTCTTTTGTATATATATTCAAAACAACTCAGGTTATGATTAGTACTTATTTAGGTCTCAAACACAATTCATTTTTTCCTGTATTTTCTTTTTTCTTTTGATGCATTGCTATCAATATTCAATTTTGAGTCCTATAGGCTGGAGCGTTGTGAAATATCAAGAATGTTTGTGTTCTTTTTTGCAGCTTGTGATAATTGCGTGTATCACGATGACTGTATTCTTACGAACTAGGATGGAGGTTGATGTTGTCCATGGAAATTATTATCTGGGTGCGCTGTTCTATTCCATCACCATTCTTCTAGTTGATGGATTTCCAGAGTTGGCCATGACTGTTTCGAGACTTGCAGTTTTCTATAAACAGAGAGAGTTGTCCTTTTACCCAGCTTGGGCATATGCAATTCCAGCTTCCATTCTTAAGGTTCCTATTTCATTGCTGGAAGCTCTAGTTTGGACTTCTCTAACTTATTATGTTATCGGGTACAGTCCTGAGCCGGGGAGGTGAGCATCACTCTAGAAGGTTTTTCCTTAATGTCCTAGTTTATCTTTGATTGAACAAGTAACTGTAGTCCACACTATGTTTGATTAGTAACTTATTGCTTATAATGCCATATGTTGGATTAACTTGGATCTTTTCCCACATTTTGTAGGTTTTTTTGCCAGCTAATGTTATTTTTTGCTGTGCACTTGGCATCATTATCCATGTTTCGTTTCTTGGCATCAGTTTGCCGAACTGTGGTTGCTTCTACGAGTGCGGGTACTGTGTCGATATTATTTGTGCTTTTATTTAGTGGCTTCATTATCCCAAAGCGTAAGTTTCTCTGAACTCTCTTCACATTTTGTCTACGGAAAGGAGTAGTTATAGAAGACATATCTGAATGTAGGGACAGTTACAGACTCCTTATTTTTTCCCAGCAATACGCAATAGTTTTGTTAATAAAGTAGAGAAAGCACTGCAAATTAAATACCAAATAAAAGGTCGACAAGACATCCAATACAATGACCGGTGAAACCAAAAAACATGCAAAGTAAAAAACCAATTAAAAACCATACGATGCTGTCCAACTCGCAATAATAATAAAAAAGAAGAAGTGAATATTTTCATACTCCTGAGACATCGAAGGCCAAAAAATGGCAAGAATTAAAGTTGATCTCATGAACTTTCAACCTATTCACATTTATCATCAAATTTCCTTGCATTCTTTTCTAACCACACAACCCATATAGTAGCAAAAAAAATTCACAATGCCAAATGGTCTTTACTATCTACACCCATCAAAATCCATATCATCCAAACAAAGCATAGATGGCATGGACCATGGCCAAATAACTTATTCCATATTGATTGCGCCAAGGTAATTCTGGAACGAATGATCCACATTATCCCTATCACCTCTACACGTAATATTCCATTATGGAAGAAGACATGGTTGGGTGGTCTTCTTTGAAGTACCTCATTAATATTGGTCTTACCATGAGCAATTATCTATTTACAAATTTGTACCTTTAAATGCACTTTGGCCTTCCAAATCTTCAATGATGGAAATGAAGAATCATCAATTAGAGAATTAAAAAAGGATGGCATTGTTAAGCATTGAAAGAAGAACCATTAACTCCAAACATTTGCTATCATTAAGACTCATGTGAAAACCAAAGTCCCAAGAAATCAGATGAGAATAAGGCTGAGCCAGATATGCAATCCAATTACCAAGATAGGAATAGATACGATAGAGACAAGGAAATAAACTAGAGAAAGAAGCCCTAACCCAAACATCAGCCAAACAACGAACTCTAGTTCTATCTCCCATTATAGCTTAATCTTTTGAGAGAACAAGGAAATCCCTGAGAAATGAACTTTCATGGACTACAAAAGTTTTCTCTTCCAATCCTATTAGCTTGTGAGCCATATTTACTTCGAATGATAGGAGGCCACAATAAACCTTGTTCCAAAAGGAATCTCCAAAATCATTTTCCAACCAAAGCTACATTCCTATTAAACAAATTCCCAACAGAAAGACGCCATTAGCCAGTGGCCTAGGTACAATATTCTAGCAAATCAAGTGATCCTTCCTTTTCTAACTGGCTCATTTCCATAAAAAAAATCCTTCATCAACTCTTTAATTTATCTTTCTAGCAAATAGGGCATTTTGAAGAGAGACGTAAAATAAATAGCAATAATAGTCAACATAGAGTGAACCAAGGTGAATCTATTACTCTAATAATAAAGATTTTCTTTTACCCATCTAGTCTTTTCCCAACTTTCTAAGATTCCAAAAAGACCTAGATATTTGTTTACCACCTAAAGTGTGGCCTAAATTTTATTTAGAGGGCAACCACCTATTGAGCACCCTAATTCCAAAGCCAATCTATCAATCTTCTCCTACTTTGAATTTATAACCAAAAAGATACTCTTGTCAATATTAACTTTAAGGTTAGAAATCACACTAAGCACACCAACAATAATTTTCAACTGTCATGCAAAGGCAAACCAATTGCAAACATAACCAAGTGAATTATTATTTTTTAAAATGTCCAAAACACCTTGTTTTTTCTTTCAATTTTAGTGCAATCACACAGAGACACCAATGACCTACTCCATCAAGGCTTGTCAATGAATTGGATTCAAATTTGAGTGTGTCTTGGTGCATCTTGGGTATACTTGATAACTCATAACTATACATGTGTCTAGGGTACTATACATGATAATTCAGAATGTTCCCTCAAAGCATCACAATTTTGAAGTTTTATTCTGCGATCCAATTGCAGAACTATACAAAGCTTGAAATTGCAAACACAAAGTTAATGAAGCCATGGTGGAATCACTCTCCTTGTTTGTGTGTTTGTGAAAATGTGTGTCTGTGTGCGTGTGTGAGGGATACGTGTGTTGCAGAGAATGGAGGTGCATAAGGAGGGAGTGTGGTGGGTTCTAATAGATGATGAGTCTACTTTGGGTAAGGTTTGGTCGGTGGTGGGTGGATGGGTTGTGAAGTGCTGGTTTTATTGTGTGTGAGAGAGAGAGACATAGAGCTGACTGTTGTGGGTCATTGGTGGTAGCCATAGTTTATGTAAACAGTTGAAGTGGAAGTTTACTACAAAACCATAATGTATAAGGAGGCAATCTGCACTCGTCCCAAAGAACAAGGGTCTTCTATAATTACTCCTTATGGTAATTATTAAAAGAATGAACTTACATATGGTGTTGTTGGTTTCAGCTTCTATGCCAGTTTGGTTGGAGTGGGGATCTTGGGTTTCTCCACTGACATATGGTGAAATAGGACTTGCTGTAAATGAATTTCTTGCTCCACGATGGCAAAAGGTGAATGTTTAAACGACTTTGTTTTTGGATCATCCAATAATGCACTATTTAAAGCTACTTATTTGGCATATTTCAAGTGATTTTAATGTATTTTATGTTGATTCAGTTTTCATCAGGCAAGGGTGGGCCACAGATTGGTCTAAGGAAATATATGTTGAAAGCCAACCAGATGGATAAATTTTTGCAATGATTTGTGATTTCATTTTGTATCACTGGTTATAATATACAACGTTATGGCAATGGAAAACATTTATCTCAACATATAAGACAGACATACAGGAATCCAATTCTTGGATCTCACCTATTAAAAACCACATTTCTTGTCAAATTTTAATTTGATTTAATGATATCTCATTCATTTCCTTTCGTGTTACTCTAATCTCAAGATGTTACTAAACATATATTTTGCCATACTTCATTCAGCTTTTCAGTTTTGAATTTATTTGAGCTCAATTAATCCACTTTGACATTTTGGAACACTTTGATCTTCTCATTGTTACGGTTGATGGTGCATCCCTTCTCTGCCTACCTTCCTATATACTGTAGCATCTCTTAAAATTTTTCAATCCCCACATTCTGATATTTTGTGCATATCTTTGGTTTATCGACGCTGCCATAATAATTAATTGTAGATTAGATTACCATAATTCTCTTGTGGTTTGATGACTGATAAAAAAGTTGTACTTCAAATTTTGGATGTATGATGTGTATGAATGTTCCTAAGTGTATGCTTATGAAGTTCTTATTTTATATATTAGACATAAGTTAGTTTGTATAGGGTAATATTGTAATTACTCTAATAGTACATAGTTATAAATAAGAGAGTGTAGGGTAACCTAAACCTACACAGTTGATTACTCTCTTTCTTCTCTCATTCTTTCTTTATTTTCACCTTTGTATCACTTTTTATTTTTTCAACTTGGTAAATAATCATCAAATAACATAGCAGAAAACTCGAGGAGGAAAAGTAGTTGCTAACATCAGCAAATTTGTGATGACCACACGCTAACATCAGCATGACGCCGGCGATGAAACCACTTGCTTTTAGTCGACTTTGTGAATTGATATTTGTGGTGATTTTTTTGAAGTTATTTGAATATCCTTTCCTATTTTTGAAAAGTTGGTCCCGATTCTTCGATCCTATTGTTTCTTGCAATTCAACATTTTTTGAATCTCCTTTCCCTCATAAAAGGGTCCAACTAGGCCTTTGGTATCTGTTGGAGGTGACCCATGGCTGTTTGTGGAGTTTGAAAGGTATTTTTTGGCTGAATAAACCATTCGGCTGGTGGTGTTCTGCCTTCTGTTTTCTTCTACGAGTTTTTTTTTTTCTGGTTCTTTGACAGATTTTTCTTGGTCTGGTGGAGTTTTGGTGGAATTCGGCAGATTGGACAGTGTTTTTTCTGGCTTTTTTTGTCTTCGACAGTGGTGTTTTCTAGCCTCTGGATATTCAGTAGCGGTGTTTTGGGCTTGGTGGAGTTTTTGGTTGTTGCTCTATGTGTGGGCTTGTGTGGATTTGACTTTTTTTTTTGGGGCCTGGACAATGCGCCGACAACACCTTTTTTGATGAATCTGCTGTTGTTTTTTGGCTGGATTTGCACCTATTTTTTTGGATTGAATCTGCACCTAATTTTTTTTGGCTGAATCTGCATCTAGGTAGGCAAAATTTGCACTTGATTTGGCTAATTTTTTATGTTGGTGGTGTGTTTTCTTCATTTTGCAGTGTTATGGGGTTAATACTGATAGTGTATTCCCTTTTGTTGGACAGGTCCTTTGGCTCTTCTGGGTTACTGTGTTTAATTGTGCTAGTTTGAGGATTATTTTCCCTCTTACTCTCTACTATCGACTAGCTCATTATGGCTCTTTCAATGGCAAATGTGAATGGTAGTAATGGTGGTCATTCTGGCCGTGGTCATCAAGTGTTGGGATAAGTATGGGAGACCATAATATGTTCATCATGCTTCTAATAATACTTTTCGAGTACATCAAACCTCTATTAATGGTTCAGTTGTATCTACTAATAGTCTACTAATTCTCATGACGATCTTTCCTCTCAACTTCGTCAGCTCATCAAATAATTATCTTCACTTTTTACACATTTATTTGTTCCTACTATTGGCCTTGCTAATGGACGTAACTTTGCATATGCGGTTGCTCAACCTTATTTATCATCTGAGATCATTGATTCAGGAGCTAGTTATCATATGTTTGGTATTTCTTCCATATTCTCTAATTTTCCTTCATATAACTCACATATTATATTGGTTGATGGTTCTTTTCGACCAGTACATGGGATTGACGATCTCCATCCTATTAAGTCTATGCCATTAACCTTTTGGTTTGTTCCTAATTTTCCCTTTAACTTGTTATACGTGATCCATCTCACTAAGTTATTACAGTGATCTATAACATTCTCTCCATCCTCGTGTTTTTTAGAAACTTAATACAAAGAAGGTGTCTAGTTTGGGGTATGAGAAAAATGGCCTTTACTACTTAGATTTTGGTGGTTCTATTCCTTCCTAAAGTGCTATTGTGTCTCTTCTTCAATGACACTTCTAATTGGGTCATCCCTCATTATAAAAGCTGCAATAAGTTATTCCTGGTTTGAGTCCTTCTTCTATTTTAGAATGTGAGGCTTGTCAATTAGCAAGCATCATCGTAGTTCCTTTCCTCCTAGTTCTTTAAGTCGTTAGTCTAGTCCATTTCATGTTGTTCATATAGACATTGGAGGTCCTATGCGAGTCAAAAGTATTCCTGGTTTTAAGTATTTTGTAATATTTGTTGATGATTGCTCTTGTACGATTTGGTTATTTCTTATGAAGGATCGTTCTAAATTACACAAGGTTTTTACCACCTTTTGTAATGAAATTCTGATTCAGTTTGATGTTTGTATTAAAGTTCTTCGATTTGACAGTGGCCTTGAGTATACTTAATTATTTATGAAAATCTTTTGTGCTGACCATGACATTATCCATTAAACCATTTGTACTCATACCTGCTAACAAAATGGCATTGTCGAATGTAAGCATTGTCATTTATTGGATGTTGCTTGTACTCTCATGTTTAACATGCATGTTCCCAAACCTTATTATGCAGACATTGTTCTCACTGTAGTCTATCTAATTAATCAAATGCCTTCTCCTATCTTAGGTAACAAATCTCTATTCTCCTTGCTTTATCCTGATACATCACCCTTTAGTCTGAATCTTCATGTATTTGGTTGTGTTGCATTTGTTCATCTTCTTGGTTCGAGTCGAGATAAACATTCACCTCGTTCAATTAAATGTGTCTTTCTGGGATATTCTCATACTCAAAAAGGTTATCACTGTTATGACCCTGTCTCTCATAGGTATTATGTCAGTACCGATGTCACCTTTTTTGAGTCAATTTCTTTTTTTTGGTTTCTAATACGGGGACTACTCTTTCATCAGATTTCATCTCTATTAATCAGGGGAACTGATATTGCCTCTTGTACCAAATGGTGTATCTTCTCCCTTTCTAGTTATTGACCCTCCATTGTAGGTCTAACGTCATTCCATGTATAGAAAGGTTGTTCCATATGCTCTAGCTCCCAAACTAATACTTGAATCCACTGAGATCCTTTCCTCTGAGTTACTTGATTTTCCTATTGCAGTGTGGAAATGTACTCGCACTTATACCTATCATCCCATTTATAATTTAGTCTCTTTGCATCAACTTTCCTCTTTATTTTGCTATTTTGCATTCACCTTATTTTCTATCCTTGCTCCTAGCTCTTTGAAACAAGTATTAACTTCTTCTGGATGGAAACTAACTATGGATGAGGAAATTAAGGCACTTTATGAAAATCATACTTGGGACCTTACTTCTCTTCCATTTGGGAAGCAGCCTATTAGTTGTCGCTAGATGTACACTATGAAATATCGTCCTAAAGGTTATGTTGAGCTGTTGAAGGTATGGTTGGTTACTAAATGGTACATTCAATCCTTTGGTGTGGATTACTGTGGGGGTGTGGATTACTGTGGGGCCTTCTCCGTTGTTGCTCGTCTTAACTTTGTTAGAGTTCTTATTTTGCTTTCAGTTAGTTCGGACTAACCCTTGTTTCAACTGGACATAAAGAATATATTCTTACATAGAGATCTGTAGGAGGAGGTGTATATGACTCAACATCCAAGTTATGTGATTTCAGGCCAAGAACAATTAGTTTGTCGTTTAAAGTTTGATAAATTCACTATCGTGGTACTTCAGTTTGGTTTTCACTACTCTACCTCAAATTATTTAGTTTTCACCCATCGATATTTTGTAGGCATTATTATTTTTATTGTGTATGTTAATGACATCATCATCAATGAGAATGACTTAGATTATATTGCTTACTTCATAGTAAAGACTTAGGTCTTCTTCGGTACATCCTATGGATTGAGGTTGCCTGGTTAAAGGAGGGTATTCGTTTGTGCCAACGAAAGTACGTATTAGACTTATTATCTAAAACATATACACTTGGTGACGCTCAATTGATACGCCTATGGACCCTACAATTAAGCTAAATCTTGAGAGTGAAGAAGCCTTTGATTATATTTGGCAATATTGGCGATTGGTTGGTAAACTGATTTTTCTTGTAGTACACGTACTAATATCACATATGCCGTTGGTGTGGTTAGTTGGTATATGCATGCCCCTCGTAAGCCTTATTGGGAGACTGTTTGCCGTATACTTTGGTATTAGAAAGGGATTCGAGGGAAGGGTTTATTATATCGTTCATCATCATCCATAACTATTGTTGGTTTTTCTGACGTTGATTGGATAGGTAGCCATGGTGATAGATGATCTATGTCTAGGTATTGCACATTTATTGGTGGTAATATTGTTACTTGGGGTTGTAAGAAGCAGAATGTGGTTGTGCATTCTAGTGCAGAGTCTGAGTATCATGCTATGACATATACTGCTTGGGAGATGCTATGGGTTTGTTCTTTACTCTGTGATATGCAACTAGATGTGTTTTCCCCTATGAAGGTGCACTGTGACAATCAAACAACTATTTTCATTGTAAGTAATCCGATATTTTATGAGCGTACCAAACACATTGAGGTGGATTGTCATTTCCTTCGAGATCTCTCAATGTGAAAGGAGATCATCACTCCATATATCAAGTCTGGTGATTAGATAGGTGATATTCTTACTAAGCCATTGGCTCGGTCTGTCTTTAGTAATTTGTGTTCCAATTTGGACATTTTTAATCTATATGTTCTAACTCGAGGGGGGGTGTTAAAGTTCTTATTTTATATATTAGACATAAGTTAGTCTGTGCAGGGTAGTATTGTAATTATTCTACATAGTTATAATAATTACACAATTATAATAAGAGAGTGTAGGGCAACCTAAACCTACACAACTGATTATTCTCTTTTCTTCTCACCTTAATATCATTTTTTATTATTTTAACTGTTTCAAAACCATGCTCTTTAAAGTCTTTTCTTATGATTTTTAAAGTGCTTTGTTTGATTTTCAATCAATGCCCATAATTCTCTTATGTTTTAATGAGCAGATAAAAAAGATATATGTGGAGTTCTAGATATATGATGTGTATGAATGTTCCTAATGTCAGCTTATGGTTTTTTGTGCTCTTTAAAGTGCTATGTTCGGATTAAATTTATTTTATGCAGATGCTTCCCTCAAATACAACACTAGGGCATGAAACACTTGAAAGCCATGGATTAAACTATAGTGGATACCTTCTTTGGGTGTCGGTCGGTGCCTTGTTTGGGTTTACAATCATTTTCAACATTGGTTTTACCTTGGCCTTAAGCTTCTTGAAGCGTAAGTTCATCTTTCTAATTTTACAAATCAACTTAGAATACACTGAAATGTGTATTTGTATTCACAATTCAAAATGCATCTAGCTCCTGGTTCTCGTGCAATCATTTCAAATGAAAAGCTCTCTCAAATACAAGGAAGTGAAGAATCCACCAATAGTGCACATGTGGAAGAAAAAACCAAAAATTCTCCTGTTAACACTACTGCAGAACCTTACAAAGGTTGGGAAATTTTATTTTTTTTTTTGTTCATTTTCTTACATTTTAGTTGCCAAAAATGGTGTTTTCACCCTCTTTTTGCCTATACAATTTGTTACTTCCATATTCATCCCACACTTAACAAGTATGCATTGTCTCTTTTTACAGGAAGAATGGTTTTACCTTTCGAACCCCTAACTGTTGTGTTTCAAGATGTGCAATACTATATTAACACTCCTCCGGTAATCATATAAACTAATCTCTTTAAATCTTAGGTGGCTGTAATGTATCGAAAGTCGTTCAGATCATGTTATGTGGGAAGTTCAGTCCTTTTTTTGTTTTGTTTCAGGCAATGAAAGAGCATGGTTTCACTAAAAAGAAACTCCAACTTCTTTGCGATATTACTGGTGCATTCAGACCTGGTGTTCTTACAGCATTGATGGGTGTCAGTGGAGCTGGGAAAACAACTCTTCTTGATGTTCTTGCTGGAAGAAAAGTTAGTGGCATTATCGAAGGAGAAATTAAAATTGGAGGTTACCCTAAAGTCCAAGAAACATTTTCTCGAATTTCGGGTTACTGTGAGCAAACTGACATACATTCTCCACAAATCACGGTCGAAGAATCAGTTATTTTTTCTGCTTGGCTTCGTCTTCATCCTCAAATCGATTCAAAAACTAAAACTGTATGACCTATTTCTGCAAACACCAATTTATTTCATAGTATTACCTCAATCATTTTTATTTTGTTTCAAATTGGTATTGCATGAGTTCACAGGAATTTGTGAAAGAAGTCCTAGAGACAATTGAGCTTGATGGAATCAAAGATGCGTTGGTTGGTATGCCTGGTGTTAGTGGTCTATCAAATGAGCAACGCAAGCGCCTCACAATTGCTGTGGAGCTTGTTGCTAACCCCTCTATTATTTTCATGGATGAACCGACAACCGGATTGGATGCCAGAGCAGCTGCAATTGTCATGCGGGCTGTAAAGAATGTTGTTGATACAGGTAGAACAATTGTTTGCACCATTCACCAGCCGAGTATTGATATATTTGAAGAATTTGATGAGGTAAGAGAACCACAATGGAATAATTTCAACAGAAATTTTGGAATATAACAATTAGTGCTAGTAGTTGGTGTTGAAATGAAATTAGTCACAAGTCCTGAAAACATGTTTAATTTTCATTAGTAGCACTTCTGAATTTAATACTTCATGCTAGGATCAGGAAATTTCCTTCCCAGTTATCATATGCAGAATAAGTGATGCATTTGAAAGCCTAGAAGTTAAACCATTACGCATCACATTACCAAGTTTTTGAAATGTTTAATAGGTATTTCTATGTGCTAACTTGGGAAGAAATAAATTTTCTTGGCTAAAGTTTAGTTAATCGGCAAAAACAAGTTTCTTAATTTCTTGACTCCAACCTAGATACCACCCAAATAAAGAAATGATATACATGTATTGCGTAGCTCACAGATAGAATAAACTGTTTTGTGTGGGTGGGTTTTTGGCCTTCTGTTATGTGCGTATTTGTTCCTGTCTTTTTTGTACTCTTCTAAGTATGCGTTGAAGCTATTGTGTTTCTATTCATTCCTGGTTAAGCTGCCACAAAGCTCCATATATGATCATACAAGATAAATGAAACTAAATTTCTCCACACATAAGAAAATTAATTTCCTATTGTTTAACTAGGTTGGATGATTCTTAGTCCCTTACCTTCAGAGTGATAAGTACATTTGGCATAAAGTAGATAGAGTTTTATAGGTATGGAATTGTTTCAATTTTGAAGAGAAGTCAGATATTATCTCATAGGGAACAAATAGATCTAAATATTTTCTTGCAAGATTTCAATAATTTGATTAGTAAATGTAAAGAACTGTGGTTCGATGCGACTTTTACCTTTTTTGCAGTTAATTCTGTTGAAAATTGGTGGAAGTATGATCTACTCTGGACCATTGGGTCAACAATCAAGTAGAGTCATTGAGTACTTTGAGGTCAGTTTTCCATATAATGCGTGCATGATTTAGATGCTTTCCCCCATCTTTTGTTTTCATAGTAGAAATGCTTCTTTCGTGCAGAAAACAATGTTACTTTCAATTCACTATATCTTTTAAACAGGGCATCTTAGGAGTGCCAAAGATCAAAAATAATTACAATCCAGCAACATGGATGTTAGAGGTCACTTCTACATCTGCAGAAGCTCAACTTGGTGTGGATTTTGCCCATATTTATCAGAATTCTGCTTTGCTTGAGTGAGTTTAACTATTGAGCTTTTCTTTCAGTGCCACTCTCTTGGGTTATAATATTATATACTTGCTAGGTGCAGTCACTTTAGAGGATAGAAGTCTATCTTCTCAAATAAGTATCATATAAAGATCTAAACCATGAATGCATTTTTCTGGAAGACCAAGGAAGAGTTCGTATAAGTCTTCCAGGTTTTTTATTGACCATTATAGTGTTTAATGGTCTTTTGCAGGCTTAGACAATGTTCCTATACCAACTAGGCTGCCACTAGTAAGGGTGTGCAACTATCCAAAAATTTGACAACGACTCCGACTTCGACTCGGCCTCCATTGGACTCGGAGTCTAAATTCTGTTCCATAAAAATTCGACTTTGACTCCAACTTTTATTAAATAATAATTTTGTGCAAATTATAAATTATATAAAATATTGTTATATTTTGAAATAAGACCACATTTTAAAGTTATATACAAATATATAAGAATTAAAGATGAACTCGAAAAAAGAGAAAGGAGTAGTGGCAAAAGTGCAAAATCAAGATCTAAAATCCTAGATATATATTTCTTTTTTGGTCACAATCCTAGAGCTAATTTGTTCTCCATTCTCTCTCTCTCTCTCACATACACATACACACAATCGACGAAAGGCGAGGAGCCCCTTCGTCTCTCTCTCTCTAGAGACGGAACCCCTCTGTCACTCTCTCTTTCTTAGGTGACAACAACAACTCTGTTGTCTCTCTCTTAGTTGATGACTAACAACCCCTCCAATTAAAGATGAGATCTCAGATCTTAGGTTGATGATCTTAGATCTCAGATCTTAGATTAAAAGCACTCGTTTGCAGATGGTCTCAAATAGAAATAGTAACTCTCTCTCTCACTCTCTCTCTATATATATATATTGCGATGATATTTGACAAATTTAAGGTTTTTTTTTTGGATTTTGTCCATTTTTGAAACTTCAGTCCGACTCCAATTGGCGGAGTCAGAGGTGGAATCAATGTAGTGCAACGTCGGAGTTGAAGGAGAAAATTCATTTTGGTTGAAGTCAGAGTCAGAGTTCGGATTCATGTTCCGACTTCGTCGGCGTTGGAGCCCACCCCTAGCCATCAGCTTACTTATTCAAGAATGAATAACCTTTTATGTAAAATGTAAAGCCCCGACCCAATTTTATACAGTTCAGAGTATAAAATACTTTAGATAATTTTGTAATTTCTATGACTTCTAGGCTATATATATTACTAATACTATGCAGGATCAATTGATCCATTGCTTAGCTTAACGCCTTAATTGTACTAATTCAACATTTCTATTTTTTCTGAACTTTTCTTTCTTTTCCACTTCAACCAGGGGCATAATAGAGGAAGTTTTAAAGCTCAATAAGAAAGATAAATGCAAAGCACAAGAATATAAATGATTGAATCCCAATTCCAATGATGATGAGATAAAAATCATTTTTTTATACACCAACTAACATATTACATGTAATGAAAGACCTGAACATAGACCTGATACCTCACCAATCATCACAAACTCAACCTGATCCCACAATTCACTTTAACTATCGGTGCATTGAACTTATGGCTATCACAATCTACTTGCCAATCTACACAAGATATGAGTAACATATTCAACATATAGAATGTCATTTGGAATTTTAGGATAACAACTCCTCAATGAATTGAAATACAGGTTGTGAATAGTTAAGAAATTACTTTTTGCAAAGAGATTTAGAAGTATACTGATATAACCTCACTTATCAAATCCTCAATCGAGATTTGTAGATATTAACATTTGTAGCTCACAAGCAATGTACTATAATTGCACTTCAATTGGATTTATCTCAAAAACTTAATTTTTATCATGAATCTCACATATTTTCTTCCAGTCATCCCTTTGTTTTGAAATTTTTTTTTTCTCTTTCTTTTCTAACCATCTTTATATGGATTAGCAATGTGCGTTGCATGTAAATAAATTTAAAGAATATTATTTTTATAAAAAATATGAATTGTATGTGTAATTAAATTAAATAATAAATTAGATGCCAAAGAATTAATTCATATTTTAATTATCGCTAAATTTAATTATTAATTTATTCTATAAGTTTTTGAGTACCTAATTTATTATTTATTTAGGTATCTATTTGAACCCTTTAGGCATTTGCACATCTGGTTATACCATAGAATTATAAATTTTTATTTGGTTAGATTGATTAGATCATTTATAATAATATTATTACATACCAAAAAAACAAAATATAACATATATTGGATCGTGGAATTCAACCTGGTAACTATATGTGTAAAATAATTTAACATATATAGGACTTTGTTTTTTTATATAGATATAGGTAATTGTATGTAACTGTACTACTAATAAATGAGTTCAAAAGAATTTAGAAGTCCTTCTAAAAGATTCCAAAATAAATTGAAAGTAAAATAGGTGTAAAAAACATAAATTAAATGAAAGTATGAAGGTATAATTGACTTTATTATAATAATTAGGGATAAAATAGAAAATTAATTTTTTTTGCAGATGCTAACATAAGTAGTATAGATATAAATAGATAGATTAGATGAAAGTATATAGCTGGTTATAATTGACTTTATTATAATAATTAAGGATAAAATAAAAAATCATAAGTTTTTCGCAGATGTTGACATTTATAAGTAGTATAGATAAAGATCAATTTTATATATTCCACCTAATGAAAAAAGATGGCCTGGAAGGTACGACAACTACCACATGACTCAGCCAATTATTTTCCTATTGTGCTTTGCAATGCATATATTTCAATAGCTATCATTAGACCTGAAGTCAAAATCCATGATTTGCTAATATATGATTTGACCCCAATTTATTTTCTGAGATGGGATGTTACATGTATTGTCAGAGGGTAACAAGCAATTGACAAAAAAATTGTTGTATTTGATAAAGATACACCTTTATTAGGAAAGGTGATTAGTTACTTCGTGACTCTAAATTGTAGTAGGAATTTCAAAAAGTTCCTATTTTCTATTCATACGGAGGGGTTTTTTTTTTGGATAGTCGGAGAGTTTGAATGGGCAACCTACTAGAGTATAAGCCATCTATTTTCTATTGATTGATTTATGGCTACATATCACTATTTTTTCCCCCAAAGTTGTTATATGACTAGATACTCCCTCATGATTATAGCAACAAACGAGATAATATACTTCATGGTATGGTGGTGTGGTGGTCTGGCCAATGGGAGGAGGACATAGGGGCAAAGTGGAGTTTGACATCCACCTTCTTGAGGGGGTGAGCCCCGACCTCCCCTTTCTCGAGGAAGTGGTACTGGACCTTGAAGTCCCTTTTATCCTCAATGTTTTAGTTGAGACAGTATTAGGGTCACACACACACACACACACAGAGAGAGAGAGAGAGAGAGAGAGAGAAGATGGAAGGAGACTGGGAGAATAATCAGTTGCGTAGGCTATGCTGCCCTACACTCAATTTCTAGGAAACTGATATTATGTAAATTACAATACTACCCTACATTACTAATAATATGAATAAAAAGTCTAATACTCCCCTTTAAATTGGAGCATAATACAAAAAGCTCAGCTTGGAACAAAGATTATTGAAGATAGATCGAGCCAATGGTTTTGTAAGGATCTCATTCAGCTGATCACTAGACTTGATATATGGTATGATAATCTCCTTATGCATGAAGAAATCTCGAATAAAATAACAATCTACATTAATATGTCTAACCCTCTCATTGAATTCTAGATTATTGGCAATGAAATAAATGCTTGGTTGTCACAATGCATGTCCATAGAAGAGGGCATACTCATACCCATAGGCCACATCACAAAGTAGTACAAACCATTTCTTTCATATCTCAAACCAATCAATTTCTTCGTCTGGAGGTCTTAAAAAACACAAGAGGATGAAGATAATGTTACAAAACACTATAATGACTTAGTGAGATGAAAAAGGGCCAAATCACACCCCACTAAGCTAGATCGAAGCAACTAATCGGATGAAAAAGGGCCAAAACCAGTAGATTAAAAAATAACCCTTTTTTTGTTGAAAATATTCAAAAATATAAAATTTTATTAAGATGATTTCAAAGATATACACAAAAATCACCATGAAATTATGATCCAGAATGTGGGTCCAATGATTGGGATCTACTGACATTAGCTTGACATCAGTCTTTATAGTGATGTCAGCGACTGATATATGATTTGGTCTTCGTCTCCAATATTTTTTGATATTATCTAGTCTTGAACAATTGCTCTGATACCAAGTTGAAGCAATAAGAATAATAGTAAGGTTAGAGAAAACGAGAAAGATAGGAGAAGATGGAAGGAGATTGGGAGAATAATCAGTTGTGTAGGCTATGTTGCCCTATACTCTCTTATTATAGTAAACTGATATTACGAGAATTATAATATTACCCTACACTACTAATAATATTAAGAAAGACTCTTAACCGTTTTCTTATATTTGGTGGATATGGACTACTTCGTGGTATGATGATGTGGTGATCTCGACCAATGGGAGAAGGATGTGGGGACAAAATGGGATTTGACATCCGTCTTCTTGAGGAGTGGGTTCTAAACTCCTCTTTCCTGAAGAGGTAGCATTGTACCTCAAAGACCCTTTTTATCCTCCATGTTTTCTCTTGTTGGCGGGTCCACCAACTATGGTTGATGATAATCTTAAATCGCCATATATTGGGGTTGGACTTCCACCTTTCGTAATCTAAATTACTCTATAAGCTATTGCAAGATGTAGTTAGAGCATCCATAATACCTCTAGATAATATAAGTAATTCAAAATCTATTTATTACTATGAACCCAACCAATTCATTGATAGTTACTTGACAAAATGGATTTTGCTAATTTCCTCAACATTTATTCCACAATACCTAATTTTCCCTTATTAAAACTTACGAATTACAAAATTCAAAACACAAAAGTAATGAAATTATAAGAAACATGCAATTCCCCTACCCCTAACCTAAAACCCAGAAAACCCTCCCCATTCTCTACAACTGCCTTGTTGTAACAACCATAAACTTGAAACCCAAGCTCACATCCCCTTAACCACCCTAACCCCATCATGATCAACGAGTTGTTGCCTTTCCTTCTCTTTGCCTTCCACAACCCCCTTAGTTCAGGGTTTAAAGTATCGATAGAGTTCGAGTTGACTTGGCTGAGTTGTATCTGCCTCAGCCCACGCCGAACTAATAATGATACACGATACACAAAGTCCACGATTCTCACTCGAATTGGCCATGAATTGGAGACAACTCTGCAAAATTTGTGCAGCTTGGATCAACTCATCAACGAGTCAGTCGAATAACACACCCACATGAAAAACCAACAAACGAAAGGCAAAAGAAGAAGACGATGATGATGATGATGATGAAGAATAGAAGAGGAAGCAACAATCAAAACCCTACCAAGAAGACGAAGCAACCGCCTCTTGCTTCACCTATTATTTTTCATCGCAACACAAGGGGATCGTGCACTAGGTACTATGGCAGATACCACTGGCATACAATTCCATCTTTTTCTTCATCTTTCCAACAAAGACCCATCGCAGATCAAAGCTATTAGAAACCCTAGGCTTACAAATTGAAGCATCGTCAATCACAGTCTTTGCAATCTTAGTTAGTTCTCTCTCTTTTTCGTTTTCTCTATTTATCTTCCCCTCTCCTCTTCTCTGTTCGTCTCTCTCTCTCTCTCTCTCTCTCTCTCTCTCTTATTCTCTCTCTCTTTCTTTCTCTCATTCTCTCTCTCTCTGTGTCACTGAGACCCAAAGTAAACAAAGACCCATTCTCCTTTTTTCTTTTAGTCTTTATTCCTTATGTATTTGGCAGTTTTGATTTTCCTTTTTCTTCTAATTGTTTTTTTTTTCCTATTATTTATTGTATAATTTAATTAGGATTTAAGGAATTAAGTTTTGTATTGGAGTAGTTGAAAGGAATAATTGATTGAATAATAAAATTTCTATGTTTTTAGGTCATTTGGCATGTTTCGGTTGTTTCGACCAATATTCTAGAAAAAGGTTTTCATTTTTTTTATTTGTATCCATCTTGTTTCCAAAACATTTCTATTTTCGAGCTCACTAAAATTATGTATTGGAACAAAATTTTGATCTTTGTTAGGAGTTAAACTCATTAAATTGACAATTTTATTAATTTTTTTTCATATGTAATTTTTATGTATTAGTATGTTCAAAATAATTATACTAGCATATGTTTAAACCTTACTATTTTTTAAATGCTTACAAGTGATGAATGATATAAATATTTTCATAATGCCCTCATAGTTCCTTTTCATTATGTTTAGTGTGTTAACTAATGCATTTTGATAATATGATGATATTTACTTACATGTTTTAGAATTTTTTAGGGCTTTTTATTTAGAGTTTTGAGTGTATTGACCGATATGTGTCTTAGTGCGCCCTTGTTGATGATCAAATCTGCGACCTTGAACCATGCGTTAGTCCCCCTATACCTCCATTATCTAAACCCCACCACCACCCATAACCACCTTTCCTTCCCTCTTTATTCATTCTCTCTTCAGTCCTACCCCTAAATTTATACACCGGCCGACCTAGACCCACCAACCACCATCTCCACAACCGTACACTATGGAAAGGGGAGAAGGGTTCAGAGGTAGATGCCTGCTGGGATGGGACTGAGGAGGTGTCGATTGGGGTTAAGTTCTTTTTTTTTTTTTTTTTTTGGGGGGGGGGGGGGGGCGCTGGTGGGGTGGAGGAGGATATAGGAGTGAGGGATTTGGGTTTTGTGGGGGAAGAGTGTGGTAGCCGAGGACTTTATTGTTTTGGGGGTAGAAGGGGGAAGCATTTTTGGAATTTTTTTTTTTTGGGTGGGGGTTGGGAAGAGACTAGAGAAAGGGGGTTTCAATTTAGGTCTAAGTTTGGGGTTGGGATTTCATAGTGGGGTTTGAGTTTGAGTTTGAGTTTGAATTTGGGGTTGGGATTTATGTCAACCTCATTAGTTGGCCGTTGGTTAATTGGGACTGGCTGTAATATCCAAAGCCACATAGTACACATTATATTATCATTAAACCCTTAAGGGGTGTCAATACAGTTTGAACAATATTATTGGGACCTAATTTATTGATTTAATTTACTATAACTACTATGGACTTATCAAATATTAGAACTTGTTGTTGATCTAATAATTTTAATGAAATTGAAGTTTGGATAAAATTCATTAGTAAAAGTGTCCCGATAGAGGCTTACTACTATTTGAATGTGAAGACTGATAGTGTGATTACAACTCACTAAAAGAACTCTTCCAATGTTTAGTGGTGGAACCTAATGATATTTTATAGTCCATGACTCCATGTTATTATCCATGGGAACATGATAGAAAGTATAAGACATTATTTGCTTAATTATAGCTGGTATTGTTGTATTGTCATCTTTACCTTTGGCTTGTGCCTGACTTTTTTCTGTTGTTATTTACATTGTAGGAACAATAAAGAACTAGTAAAGAGGTTGAGTATTCCACCCCCTGATTCAAAACAGTTGCATTTTGCAACCCGCTTTGCTCAAAACGGTTGGGGACAGTTCAAATCCTGTCTCTGGAAACAACAATTGTCTTACTGGAGAAGTCCTTCGTACAACTTGACGCGTTCTCTGTATATGGTTTTTGCTTCTTTGCTTTTTGGGACACTGTTTTGGGATCAGGGGAAGAAAATGTAAGTAAATTAAATTGAGTTTAAGCTTGCAAGGTAAATACAGGAAAACAGAAAGGATATTTAGCAAGATATTCTCATGAACCTTCACCTACATATCTAGCTCCTGCACAAGTTAGAGCATTCTAGAACTGGTTTAAAGCATCCATTTTCTTCTCAGCTCTAGTATCTGACTTTTTTTAGCACGCCCTCCAACTGCATATGGCCAGAAAACATGTAGCATGAGAAATGGGTAGTGATGCGCATGCAAGCTAAAATTAATAAATAGCATAAAATAAATCATCATGCCAAGAACAAAATTTTGAAAAATATAAATGATGGTGTCACTTCCAGATTCTGGCGCATTCCTCTTTTTTATTTTTTATCTTGCTTTACCATACGTGAGTGATGAGTAAAAAGTTTATTTAGTTGGCTGGTTGAGTTCGCCAAAACTGATCAAACTTAACTTGAAAACCTTTTTAGTTCACTTTGATAATTTGTTGGAATTCAACCATGCGCGTATAGGATTTTCTGAACATGAGGTCCAGACTAACGTGGACCTTCATAGTACTTGTGATGTTTTTTCCTTTTAATTACTGAAGATGTTGACCTACAGTCAGTAAATCTTCATAATCTGATTTCTTATCAGTTTTTCATTGAAATTGCTTCATAGGTCAATCATTAATATATTGCTTTTTATTTCACAGAAATAACCAGCAGAGCTTGTTCAATATCTTTGGTTCAATGTTCAGCGCTGTGATCTTTTGTGGCATAAGTAACGCCTCTTCAGTCTTACCGTATGTCTCCACAGAGCGAACTGTTCTGTATCGGGAAAGATTTGCTGGGATGTATGCTTCATGGGCTTATGCTCTTGCCCAGGTATAGTTTCTTCTGAACTTTGAGTTTGTGATATTCTATTTGATTTGGCAAAAATTGAACAAGATTAAAAAAACCAAGTAAAGTAGAGCTCTAAGTTTCTGGTTCTTGAGCCTTGGTTCTTCATACACCTTTTTAGAATAAATGAACAAATGCCTTCATTGAGAATAGCAGCTTAGCTGCACTATAATTTTTGCTTTATGAGTCCTCTGCATCTTTCCCTTCCCACTTTGGGTGCGTAGTAGCACTACTCCATAGACACACAGTGAAAACTAGAACTGCTTAAACCCATTCCATCCAAGGATTGACAGATCCAAGGCTCCTTGATGTAACCGAGTTATCAAGCATATGACCAATCACCAATGTTATCACATAATTTGTAATTAGTTTTTGCTGTTTTAGTTTCACATTCATTGAAATATGGGTAATGGTTTTATAGGTGATAATTGAGGTTCCTTATCTCTTGGCCCAAGTCCTTGTGTTTGTGATCATCACATATCCGATGATTGGGTACTATTGGTCAGCTTATAAGGTTTTTTGGTACTTCTATGCCATGTTCTGTACCTTACTGTACTTCACTTATTTGGGGATGCTGCTTGTTTCAATGACACCAAGCTTTCCGGTAGCTGCAATTCTACAGTCTGCCTTTTACACGTTGCTTAACCTATTTTCTGGGTTTTTGCTACCTCAGCCGGTAAGCTACTACTCTCTCGTTGATAATGGACTTGACCTTGTTGTGGCTACAGTTTTGCTAATAATAATAGTTTACATATTATTGTCCAAATAATCGGCTGTTATAGGGGACGTGGACTAGGTAGAAGCCTAACATTCAGTTCTATTTGCACAAATTGGCTACTCTCAATCAAGAGTGTCTTTCCATTCATGGTAACAACCACTATAACAGTACTAGGGAAAAGCCCCAAAACTCATGATGAAGGAAACTTGAGATTGCAAATCTCTTCGTCTGAATAGTTCATTCCTGAATTGTTTTTCTACCATCATGTCCTGTTCTTAACTTAAAACTACCTGTTTGCAATCCAAAATGCTTAATCATATGAATCCCATAATGTTGCAACTCTTTATCAAAAAATTTAAGTCTGCAATTTTGGAAATTAATGTTTATGGGTTTGTACTGATAGATTTCTGTCATTTTAAATCTTGAATGGAGGGAAAACTATTGAGCTGGATAAAAAATGTGCAATTTAAATGCAGACTTTCTCTTTGGTTTTTTTGTTTTGTTTTTCTGGGCAAAATTATGATTACTTGGTTTTCAAAGGTAATTATGTAAATAATGGGCGAGCCATTTGAATTTTGTAATACTTGGCTACAAAACTTAGGAATCCAAGGGGATTGTGGTTTCTTTTTTCTTCTAATTTTTAGTGAGTTGATTAATAAATGAAAAAAGAAGCTAAAATGAGGAGACTGAATGGAAAAACAGTCTAGAGAGCTCCATGACATGTAAATACCTATGAAAATGCAAAATACTTTTTTGGACGACATAAAGATTAGGATATCTTAAGAACAGTTCTACAGAGATACTAAAAAGTGCTTCTTCCAAGTCTTGGGAATCTTCGCAACTTTGTAGTTTATAGCATTAGGTCGAGACGAGATCCAAAATGCTTATATCCCATGGAGTTTGGATAATTTATACCCATCTCCCTCTTCGATAGAGGCACCCCAGTGATTTAAGAAACTTGTGAACTATTGAATTTTTGGAACTCCTATGTGAGTAGAGATACTAACCCAATTGTGTTGTTTTCGCCTTCTGCAGCAAATTCCAAAGTGGTGGCTGTGGTTATACTATATAACACCATCATCTTGGTCACTAAATGGTATGCTTACTTCTCAATATGGAGATGTAGGCAAGAATATTACTGTGTTTGGAGAAACCAAAACAGTAGCAGCCTTTTTAAGGGATTACTTCGGATTTCACCATGATCGCTTACCTATTGTGGCTGTTGTCCTGATTCTATACCCTATTCTTTTTGCCTCCCTATTTGCATATTGTATTGGGAAGTTCAATTTCCAAAGGAGGTGAATGTTGTAAAGTAATTTGTAATATGTACTTCTGACCTCTTTTTTGTTCTATTTTGACGGCAAATGTCATTTGCCGAAATGATATATGGTGAGTTCAGGTCTAAAAGTAAAAGACTTGTGCACTAGATTACACTTTATCAATGAGACAGAACCGTAAATTTATTTCAGTGACTTTATCATCATAATTATTGGTTCATAAACTTCTACTAAACAAATTCATTGCAATGTAATTAATATTAAATAAGTAGACTCATGTTGCAAAATAATTGTAAGTTGGCCCTTGGTTTACCAGCTCTCATAAGCCATCACTAGAACAGTTCCAACTTGACTCGGATTTGACTCATTCATTATAGGTTGAATTGCCAAAAAAGAAAGAAGCAATTTGATCAGATTTATGAGCACATTTTGTAAATGAGCTAAACCTGAGCAACGTATGACTCAACTCGAATAACCTCGGCTTGGTTCAAATCAGCTCCTTTATAGATTTTATCACTCCCTTTGTTCTTTGTTCCAATCAATCCATTGATATGAGATGAATCTCATTTGTTTGACCAGTAGAAAAAAGAGAGTCATTTTTTTCTCTTTAAAAGTGAAACAACAAAAGAATTTAAACCATGAAAGAGAAAGATAGTAGGCCGAAGAACAATTAAATTCTTCAACTTGGCCATCTAAGAAGGTGAAGGCTTGGTGAGAGACTATAAAACACATTTAAAAGATGAAAAATCCAAAACTTATTCCCAAATAGCTACATAATATACACCCCCTCTCTCCTCCGCCCCCCCTCTAATTATTTTTTTAAAAGAATTAAACTTTTGGGGTTTGATTTTATGGTTGATTACAAGAATTTGTGGAGATTTTGTTGAGAAATTAATTATTTTAGTATTTCTCTCTCCTCGAATTATTTTTTATAAAATATTAAACTTTTGGGGTTTGATTTTATAGTTGATTACAAGAATTTGAGAATATTTTATCAAGAAATTAATTATTTTAGTACTAATTATCAAATTTAATGGTTAGTTATAAGAAATTTTTTCTGAGATATTAAGTTCGATTTTGACTCGAATCAACAATGAAATTGAGCAAAAATTTGAACTCAACAGTTGAACATGGTTCAAGCTCTAGCTCGTCCAATCACAAGAAAGTTGAGTTGAAGTACCCAAATTTTGGCAAACAAAAGGGTTTTGTACTTATTTAGAGGTGAAGAGGTAATCGGCTATTTAACTAAAATCTTATGTGTATTTTTTACTTTTAATCCGAGTAAATATGGATCTAAAGTCCTCAATGATACAAGTATAAATCAAAAAATATAATAGATAATATTATTTCAAAATGTATTAGTTAAATAATTGGATTAAGCTAAACAACCAAGTAATCAAAATTATTGACAACATGACATGAATAAAAGCTCTAAAAATAAATGTCCAAGTATTTAAGCTGTAAGCTGAAAACTGCACTGATTGTTTGAAACAATTTGCAGAAGCATGAATGAAGTAGTAATTCATTGAATAGGTGCATGAGAATCAATTACACATTAATATACCTAGAATATTTTTTGCAGCTCTATATTTCTTTGGAAAAATTATCCTTTGACACCTTAACTATGGACTCACTTTCACTTTACCTCTTAAACTATTAAATTATTCACATTGCGCCCTCAACTTCTTGAATTGATTTCATTCTGTCCCACATGCAAAGTGGCTTTATTTTTGGGACATAAATTGTCAACGAGTTTAAAAAAAAATGAAATAAAATTACGTGGTTTGGGAGAAAGATGAAATTGTAATGGACGTTAATCATTAAGATAATGGGAAAGTAACAACATTATTGAAGGGGGGTAATGTAAGAAATATGATAATTAAAAGGATAATATGAAAAAAAAATCTTAATTAAAGGGGTCAAAATATAATTTGTCCTCATTCATTTCTTCGTATCATGCATACCAAGCATCATCCAGTACAAATTACTCACGAGTAATGCAATACTTAACAAATTATTTACTAAATTTTGTATCCCAAATTAGTGTAGGTGGTTGTATCCCAAATCATTTAATTTTTAATTGTGGCCAAGTGGTTTATTTAGCATCTAAAAAATCTCAATTATATGCTATTTGACAATTAAAATTCTATGAAACAGGTTTGAGAAGCCTTTCTTTGGTCATATTAAATTCTAATTGTTTTAAATTATATAAATAGTCTGTTCTAGTTAAACTCTTTCACGTGGTCATGTTTACACCTAAAAATAGCGAGATGAGGGTAATACGTGGAAGAGTTTCGACGGTCACAAGGGACTCTGTGAGAGTCCCAATTGATAGAACGGTTCAAAGAGTAGGACTCTTAGAATCTCGAAAAACCAAAAAATGTGACATCATGAGATGCCAGTTGAAAACTGTTCAACACAAATTCACGTATCTCAAGGAACAAGACCATGATCACAAGTAATGACAAAAAAAAATGGATCGATGGTTGAGAGTCATCTCTATAAATAAATGAGGTCAAGCAATTGAGAAGAGGTCCCATGATCAATCACAAAAGCTCTTCACAGAGCTAGTCCACCTTTTTACTTGTTCTTACTGCTGAGCAATTTTTATTTTCATGTAATACATCACTCTGATGATCGATTACGACCTTTTTTATAATGATAATTTCAGTATTTGTTTCATCCACTAGATTTGAATTTAAGTTACTTGCTACTTTGAATTCATGTTACTTATTTTACAGTGTCGTTCATACATTTCTATTTAGTGAAATTTAAAGTCCTTGAAGATCCAAGGCATAGAAAGAACCTAGAGGTAACCTCATGCCTCTCTACAGTTGCCTGAACAGTCACGATTTTATAACTTCACGTTGATTCGAGTAGATAAGGTCATACGTATTTGAATTTTAAGTCCATGTAGACTTTTGCATGCCCACAATCCAAAAATATGCCAAACATATTTTTTAGCACTCTTGGTGGGACCATTAAAGAGACAGCATGGAAAACACTTAAGGTAAAGAATGGCTCATCTAAAGTGCCCCCAGTACACGAAGTTGTGGAAGAAAGTAGGCATTACATTCTCAACCTACAAGAAGAATTTCCTCCACTCATGGGGAAAGAGAAAGCGAATCCGACTCAGAGCTGGAGGCCTCGATCAAGGATATATTGCATGAAGATTCTCAACAAGTTTTTAATTTTATTCAAGGCTTAGGGGATTTGATCAGAGAAGAATCTGGCCGCATCAGGCAAGTGTTGGAGCGGCTAGCAGATAGTTTGAGTCATCCAGGGGGAACCATTGTTTCCCCCTACACAGGTAGTCCCAGTGGAAGCACCACAACCAGTGCTTCCTTCGTATGTGCTACCTCAGAGGGCACATCAGTCTAGGAATGGCCACAAGCGTAATAACAATTTTCTTTCTCAGAAGGAAATAACTCCTAACCCAGAAGTTGGGGGGGGGGGGCAAAGAAGGCAACTGCGATTGTTTCTCCAATGGTGCCCCAGGTGGTCATGAATAGAGGCCAACTAGACGAGATTATCTAGGAGCATGTCGGCCTTACTATGAGAAGGGTGATTAACATACCAAAAACCCTATCTCGATTGAGTGGATAGAGAATATGAGTATCTTTGGGGGTATAAGGTTCTAGTGTTTGCTTCGTTCTTAGGTGAAGGTGGTCAGTCAATCGTGAAACACTTTGGTTGCTTCACCATTCATTGCAGTGAGGCAGGGACCAACGAATTCTTGAAGCTGAGGCTATTTACCAAATCCTTGACAGTAGCAGCCTTCAGGTGGTATATTGATTTGTTACTGAATTTTGTGATAGGCTGGCAACAACTCAAAGACAAGTTTCATGCTTAGTTTTATTGCACGAAGCTAGAAGTAACCATGGCCGATTTAGCTATGTTGTACCAGATGGCTGGGGAATCAATAGAACAATATATTGCATGGTTCAAGAAGGCTAATAATTGGTGTAGGTTAGTGCTGTCTGAGATGGAGTATGTGTTGATTATGCAGAACGAACTGGGTTCGAGCTTCAGAAGAAATTTGAAGGGATGGAGTTCAACGACTTGTTTGAGATAGCCTTATAGGCTACGCGATATGAGCATATCCTATGCGAAGAGCTGGACATAAAAAATGCGTCCAAGGGAACATACTATAGAGATCCCAATACGAAGGTCTTCATGGTCGAACTAGACCAAGAGCTGGAGGTGAACATGGTTGAAAATTATGGTGAAGTGGCTGCACATGTACAAGGCTTTAATCAAGCCTCTAGAGAATCAGGCACAAGTCACGCCAAGTGTCGAGAAAGGAACTGACAAAAAAGTATGACATTGACATCACGAAGGCCAATCAAATTTTTGACCAACTGCTAGCTGTTAGTATTAGCAAGTTGTAATTTGGTCATAAGATCTCATCGATGCAGAGCTGAAAAATAAAACATATTGCAAATGGCACAATTTGTGAAGCCATTCCATTGCAAACTGTGTAGTGTTCCAGAACGCCATTCAGGAGAGCCTGACTAAGTGCTACTTGATCTTTGGAGACAAGGGCAAGTCAGAGATAGAGGTTGATAAGGACCTTTTCAAGAAGAAAACCCTTAACATAATAGAAATGGGACAATCAAAACTTCTAGGAAGAAAGTTGACTTGGATGAGGATGGATCAACAGATGGAGAAAAGCCAAAAGGGAAGAAAGATGATGCACCCTAAGGCAAATCATCTGAGGAGGACTATGGGAATGAGTCGTATATATCACTAGGTCTCCAGGAGTAGCTAAACATAGTCAAGAACGATCTATGTCCCTGGTGCAAAGCATTCTACAGGATTGTTCTTGAACATAAAGTTATAAAAGAGGAGCAAGGAGAATCGTCCAAAAGGCCACAGAAAAAATGACATTACAAGGGAACCCACTAGCAGGGTTTGTTTATGAGGTCAAGCTACAAAAGGCATGGTAGAGACATACCAGAACCTTCAAGGGGCCGGCTAGGACTGAAGTATGAAGACTACGCCACAAAATTTACACCCGATCAACGTGTGAGAATGGAGGGTTATCAGGATCGTCCCAAGATGGTGAAACCAACTGAGCTGTTGGAAGTTCGTTGGTACATAGCCCAGTGCCTAAATTTCCATAATACCCTCATCCTCATTCGCTGTCAAGAACAC